CTGGCCCTGCGGGGGGGCCCGCTTGCAAAGCATACCCCCGACACGTGCCCCCCAAGCGAGGCGGGGAGGGGATGGGGGGAAACCTCCTCCTTTCCAGCAAAGCAGCCCCGGCTCCTCACTTGCACCCCCCACCCTCCAGATCCTCCAGCAACTCCGCGCAGAAAGTCAAGTCCCGACGGCTTGCAGCCTCCCCGCCCGGCTCGTCCCAGCCGGCAGCAGGGCCCCCAGGAGTCCCGCGGGGGGTGGCGGGGAGATGCTCGCTGTCCCCGGCGTTGTCTGGGCTCCCCGGTGCCACCAGCAGCGCCTTCACCCCGTGCGGAGTGAGTTGCAAATCCCCCCCCCTCTCCTTTTCTTTTCTTTTTTTAGTTGACACTGGAGATGTCAAAAGGATTCAATAAATGAAACTTTATTTGCCCGTGCAGTTCGGATCTCTCCGGCCTGCTTCTAATTCCGCGGCGGTAATTACCCTCCGTTTCTTTAAGTGCAATAGATTTAGTGCCTCAGAGACTATGCACAGTTTGATTGAATTATTCATTTTTTTTTCTCCTTTGGTGTAGACTGCATCTGGGGACTCTGATGTGACGTGTAGATTTTTTTTTTTTTTTTTTTTTTTGCAGGAACAAAGGGAATGTGGAAATGAAAGAGAGAGGGAGAGAGAGGCTGGCAGATGTGATGAGATGCGGTGAAGGTGTATCCAGCTTGGCACTCCCACTCCTCTCTGCTCCTCTCATTGCAGCCCTGGGTGACTCTCAGGCTAACACAAACAGCTTTTCTTCCGCAGCCTGCCCTCTGTCACTGTAAGTACAGCAGCCTTCTCTTATCAGCATGCAAATTCCAGCCACTCACTACCTTAGCCGAGTGTTTGCACTTTAGATTTACAGAGGAGACCTTGGAAATGAACTTCCCGAGACAGGAAGGGGCTCCATGTCCAACTTGCTTTTATTTTCTTGGGGGAAACAAAAAGTTTCTGTGGTTTGCCATTTTGGGGGACGTGGGGGTGGTTATTCCTGCGGCTTTATATATCTATATACCTATCTATAGATATATAGTTATATATTTTGGCTTCTCTATCAGGAGGATGCCCAATTGCCACTGACAGTCAGATGTTCTCCTCCTCTGCTTCCGCTAAAAAGGACAGTTCCTGGTGTTGGCAAAAGGCATTCAGAGTTTGCTGTTTGAACCGGGCGATCTAACAGGTAAAACCTCCCCGCAGGCTGCGGGGGAGCGCCCAAGGGTGCCGCTGCTGGGGACCTCACATCATCTGCTGGTTTTGCCCGGACTGAAACGCGCAGGGATCTTTTTTTGGTTGTTGTCTCAGTCTTAACCAAACTTTTTTTTCCCCCCTATCGGATGACAGGGCTGTCGCTCCTTTTCCTTTAGCCTCCTCTCACACGTTGTTGTTCCTTTGGTTTAGGGGGAAAAAAAAGTTTCTCTGAACATTTTTCCAAAATATTCCAAGCCCCTAACATCTGCATTGTCGGAAAGTGTCACCCGCGGGGATTTACAAGGTGCCTGATCGCTGTCCGGCAGGAATAAGGGAGCGGGGACTTTTGAGGTCGGGGAGTGACTTTTTTTTAACCTAGTGTCTTTTTAGGCAAACTTCAGAGGCGCTTCCACCAACTCCGCAGGAGTCCTAGACTGGCTCATCCCCTCTCTGGGGCACAGGGTGCCTGCCCTGTTGGGCACTGCTTTTTTTCCCCCTTTTTCCCCCCTATACATGTGTTTGCTGAGTAGCGCAGCACGAAATGCGGTGACACCTGGGAACAGGTAAGTGCTCCAGCCTGGCTGGCAGCCTCCAGGTCCTGCCCTCTGCCAGGACCCGGAGCCCTCCAAGTCCATCTCTGTGCAACATCTGGCTGCGCTGCTGTGGCCAGCCTCGCTGAGAGGCGAGCCGAGCCACTGAAAATAAGCTCTAAACATATGCTACCACTAACAGCAAGGGAGGTCGTGTGTGTGTCTCTCTCTGCACGTGTGAGCGTGTCTTCACAGCGCCTGTCGCTTATTCCCTGTGCCAACAAAGAGCTAAATCCTGTACGCAATCGTTTCTCGCAGCGCCAGGAGACAAATGCGGTACATCTTCTTTCCGCGGGCAAATACGGTCCCTCTCTTCCCCCCGCGTTACACCTGTACCTGAACTGATCCCACAGAGGAAGCAACAAGCTCTCTTGCCCAAGTTATTTATTTGCTGCCACATCTGTGCTGTGCATTTCTGCCCCGACTGGCTTTCCTTCTTTGCGGTGGGGCAGAGATGCTCTTCCGCGTTTGGACTAACCAGGCTTTCAAACTTCCTCACTTCTTCCCTTTGTTTTGTAATTGTTTGTACGTTCCCACCTGATCAAAAGAGCTGGCACTACTGATCATGGGTTTTTTTTTTTAGGGTTTGTATTTTTTAAAGGAAAAACTTAGAGCAACAAATAAAGGGACATTGTCCCTAGGTCAGTATATTTTTTTCCCTTACAGATCCCAATTTCTTATGCCAGTGACACTGACCGTGACAAAAAAACCCAGCAACTCTAGGTCTAGTCCTCATTTGTGGGACGGTTTCATTTATTGGGGGAAAGGTGTTATGGCCGCATTACAGGGATGCTTTTAAATGAAGTTTGCAAAGGACATCTCCAGGACCTGAAACGGAAAGCGATCTCGTTTGGTTAAATCCAAACGCCAGGCACCTAGAGCCAGGTGAATAGTTTGGCTTGACATTCACCTGCGCTCAGCAAACTCATCATTGCAATCGAGCCTCCTGCTCATTTGAGATGTTATAGCCCTCCGATCAGAATGGAAAGAGGGCCGGAAAAAATGAGAGTTTCTGTAAGTTAGCCAGCTAATTGGAAAGCATTGCTTCCAGCCGCTGGGTACATTAAAAGTTTTGTTTTAAGGCGCTCGCCGCTGACACAGCGACACTGGCTGTGCCCTTCATTTGGTGGCAGAGTCCAAAAGAAATTGCAGTGAAAAAAAAGGTTCCCTTCTTGCAGGAGACCCTGCTTATAAACTGAAGGACTTGCTTTGGGAAAGGCGACCCTGCTAGCCATTTCGGGTAGCAGGAAGACGAGGGAGCGTGAGCATCTTGAAGAGTGTTGCAAAAGTTAAGGGAAGAAAAGAGAGCAGGGGCCAAGCAAGCCTGTGTCATCTTGTCCCGCTCTTGGGCATTTTCATCAGGTCCCTCTGGACCAAGGAGGTGTGATTGGGCTGAATTTCGGCTTGAAGAGGAGTGAGAGAAGGCGAGCCCACGCTTCCTCCTCTCCTCCTGGCCTCTAGAAGTTCTCAAGCTCTTTTAAAATAATCATTTTAAAAGTTTCTTTGTTCCTAATTGTTCCAGGCGCCTGCTGGAAAAGGGGCAAGGGCTGCCCAAGCACACGAAGACGAATCACCAACTTTTTTCCCTCTTGCCCCGCTCTCCCGGCACTGTCAGGCGGAGTAGCTGGCGGAGCCTGGGTGTGAATCGCATCCAAAGGGGGAGCCCGCTTCGCCCACCTCATCTCCGGGCCCCCGGCACCTCTTTCACGGTCGCCTCTTGGAGTTTCAAACTACATGCCTGCGTCTTTCCTGGCGCTCCTCATCTCCTCCGAGCTGCCCCGTCCGCCTCCCCAGAGTTGCCTGCTTGTGTCCTTAACACTTGCAAGCCAGCGCCGGGTCCCAGGTCGCTGCTCCGCGCCCGCCCGGCTCGTGCCGCGGATGCGCATCTCGGCATCGCAGCAGGTCCCGGAGCTTCACCTGGAAGCTGCTCGGACTCAGCAGGGCTTTCTGCCCGGCCCCGGGCCCGGGAGCATCCCACCCGCGTCCCTCGCCCCTGCCCCGCAGCCGGGCTGGGCTCGTCCCGTATCGCGGAGACTTTGCCTCTGGCTCAGCCGGAAGATCGGGCTTCTCCGAGTCCGGCTGTCAGGATCTCTGCCGGCTTTTCAGTCCAGCCAGAGCTGCTCCTCAGCGACTTTGGTGCGTGGCTTTCCCAAGCGCCCCCCGTTAGAGTGCTGCTGTGGGGTCTCCTTTAGTTTATTCTCTTCTTCTTCAGTCCTGCCCCCCCCTTCTCCCCCCGGTAACTTTCTATTACCTTTCCTCACCACACCGGGCAATCAGTGGTCATTAGGCTGGAGAGGTTTAGGGTTGCACTTGTGTACGGGCAGTGAGAGTGGGGATCGCTGCACCGTGATGCGGCTGGCAGCCGGGGGGGATTTCACTTTCTGTTTTGTGCTCACTTTCTCTCCAGTTGTTGCTCCCCCGCCCTCTCTCCCTCCCTCCCTCCCCCTCTCCGCGTTGTCTCATCTTGCCTGTGCTGCCTGGGAGGGGGAGCCCTGCCTCCCTTCGCCTTCCTTAGATCAATGCCCTGGCCACTCACTTTCTGATGTTGCACGACGGGAAATGCTTTGAATACTTACGACATGGCCGCTCACATTGATTGCCAAGATTGACAGCAGTAACCATCGCCTTCACTTGTTTCAGGAGGGGGAAAAAAAAATCATAATGAACCTGATTGTAACCAAATCTCCCGGCAACCCATCCGCAAACTTCTCCTAACGATCCGGATCCAGCACATCCATGGCCCGGAGAAACACCAGCAGACTTTAGCCCATTGATTTCTTTTTCTTTTTTTTTTTTCTTCTTTTTTTTTCTTTGGCTGAATCGCTCCCCGTTTTGTTTCTCTTTCCCCTTCCCTCCCCCCCCTCCCTCCACCTCCTTCCCTCTTCCCCCCCCTTTTTTTTAATGAAAATTACCGAAGCGCCTTGCAAAAAAAAAAAAAAAAAGGAGGCTCTGCCAGTGCTTTGTGCCACACTGGATCCCGAGGAGGTAACCAGGAAAAAAAAAGCAGACAGAAAGAAAAGCCCTGTCGTGTTGTATACCTGTTGTTTACTGTGGTGTGTAGTGCAGCCCGGCTCGGTGGCGGCGGCGGGGATTGAATGGGGGGTCGCTGGGTTTCGGGAGCTTTGCCGGAGCGATCGCTCTGCTTCCCCTTGCGCTGTCTTTAATGGGTTGGGACTTGCAATGGACTCAAGCGGCAGCGTCCGGAGGTAGATCTGTTGTTTAGCTTTCTGAATTCATCTCCCCCCTCCTCCAGGTTATGTACTTGGCTACCACGAGGCTTGCTTTTTTCGCCCCCTTTTTCTTTATCTCCCCCCCCAGGAGAAAGTAGTTTGAGTCTTGTCGCCCCCCCCCCCTCCCCCCGTGCGTGTCTTCGGAGTTTCCCAGGCTCTGAGCTTGAAGGACCCCAGTCCCTGGAAATCACAACAGTTTCTCATCCTCTATTTTAAACCGCAGCGACAGATCCGCGCTGTATTTTAGGATCGCCCCCCCCCCCACGGCAGAAGAACACATGGTGCCGGGGGAGATCCCGATCCTTAAGAAACTCACACGAGAGGGAGAGAGCAAGGAAAAAAAAAGCCTAAATCCATCTTTGAGGGCAGGGGGGGAGCTCTGCTGCCACTGCTCCGAAGGGGGAGCGTGGGTTTAGCCTCCCAAAGAAACCGGCCTGCCAAAGAGGAGGTTGTTTTTGGTTTTTTTTTTTTTTTAAGGTTCCCCCCACCTTATTCTCCGCTAAGTTTGAGGTGGGTGATTGCATTGAAGTTGGCCACAACCGTGCAGAAATGCAAAGCGGTGGGACAATCTCGCGGGTGGCCACAGAGGGGCACTCTCCCGAGGCTTTGCAAGCTGCTGCGGTGGCGCCTTATCTCTCCAGGCAGAGGGTTTGGATAAAGTTATACTGAAAACTTTAAAATTGATCTCACACCCTAATTTGTGATACACAAGACGGAAGGGAGAGGGAAAAAAAAAGCCCATCCTCAGAGGGCTCTGTTTACACCATGAGAAGGGGAGATCTGGGCTGCCTTGTGGGCTTGCCCAACATTCAACTGGGGATTTCTTGCTGCCTTAGCTCTTGCCGGAGGTCACGCAAATCGACCTTAAAAGAATGCATAAGCCATAAATTAAAATAAACCCTTAGCCAGGGGCTGATCCATAAGTAGACAATACCTAACCTGGACAAAACGGCTTCCTTTGCGAGCTGAAAAAAAAAGAATAGTGCCTAAACTAAATGCAAAGTAAGTTTTCAGGAACTATTTCACTTACTTATTCTTTTATTTCATTTTTTCCCTCTTTTTCTCTTTCATGGATCGCAGCGCAAACTGCGTCTAGAAGCTGTTTCCAGGCAGTGCTTGAGTCAGGGCAAGGTGTGTTTGGGGAAGAGCTTGGGTGCTTTTTTTCTATTCTTTCATTATTATTATAATTTTTTTTGTGTCGTGCTTTCTGAGCCGGTTGGGTTTTGCATTGTGGCTAAAGCAGCTTCTGGAAAGTCGTAGCTTTATGTTTGATCTTGAGAAGCGATCAGAAGTTTATGGAGGGTCTGGGCTGCCTGGCGGATGTCACATGCGCGCACACAATCAGTGTCTGCGTGGGGAATAGCTCCTGTTTTCTTTTTCTTTTTTTCCTCGCAATTTCTGTCAGATGTACCCCCCCCCCCGCGATTCTTGATGGCTTGGCATCTCACAAATCTCTTTCTCTGCGTTTCTGCTCGTCTTGGCGTTGGAGGCGGTGGACAGGCTGTTGAGCCTTTTTGTGCATGTGCGTGGACATGTGGGTTCTACATGCGTGCGATTGCACACGCACACGCATCCCCACACACACTCGGGGTGATCATCACCCCCGCACATCCACGGCGTAGCTGTCAATGGTGCCGAGCGCCAAGCTGGCTCGGGTGCCCTGCTCCTGCAGAGCAGCCCTGAAGAGTTAACGTGCCTTGCAGCCGGGGCTGCGCGGTTCAGGAGAGCAGGGCCTCGGAGGCCAGTCGGAGGCACTGATCAGATCGATTTGATTGCTGCTGCCTTGGGTTTCTGCGTTTCACGTTTCTGTCTTTTTTTTTTTAAAGGACGGGAAAGAGAGTGAAAGTGGCAGCGTGCAAAGACAATTCACGTTGTGTCTGGGGAGCCTGGGGACGAGAGATTATAACTCGGTCCTAGGGGTGTTTCCCAAAAACACAGACAGGGAAACTTTTAGAGATAAAGGAGTGTGTCTTCGCCTGCAGCTTGCAGATAAAGTGTATGTTTATTGAGCCCATTTAAATAGCCCTCGGCACCAGCTCGGTAATGAGTTCATTTTATTTTATTTTTATTTGTGCACTTCTTTTCGCAGACTGAGCATTTGCATCTTTTAAAACTGAGGAGACGGGCGCAAGAGCTATCCAGTGCTCAAGGCAGGGTTTCCAGCCCAGAAGTTAACGAATTTCCCTTTGTCTGTCCGTGTAATGAAGTGATTTGGAAACCTGTTTTGAGACTTTGACTTGACTTGACTTGCTTTATTGACGTGCTTGTGCCCAATCATTTAATTAAGCCATTATACCATAAAGTAAATAATAAAATATGGCTGTGAGATATGGGAAGCCAGCCTGCCCCCGTGCATACAGATGGAGCAGGAGGGGGAAGAAGCTGCTTTTTTTTTTTTTTGGCTTTTTTTTTTTCACAAGCCCACTGCGCACGGTGGCTTAGTTTGCAAGATTGTATTGCATTTGTCTGGGATTTCTGGCGTTTCTATATTCACATTATTACCCGCACACTGCGCATGCTTTGCAAAATAGTAACCGTCCCTAGCATTTCTTTCTAGTAAAAAAAAAAAAAAAAATTAAAAAAAAATTACTCTATTTATAGTGAGTACATTTAAGAGAAAATAATTAGGTCACTTGGATTAGGCTGCAGTTTGAAGCAGCTCGACACCTGGCAGAAGCTGCCTGAGCAGTTTTCTTGAACCTCTCTGCACCATCCATAACTTTCCCCCCCCTCCCTTCTTCTTATAATACATTCTTGTGTTAAGTGAGAAAGGCTGTTTGTAAAACAATCCCCTGGCTAGTCCCAGTGTTGGGCGAAGCTGATCCTGTAATGGCATTTTGTTTTGAACAGTTGCTGTAGTTGAAGTTCCCTCATAAGGTAAGGTGGCACTGGGTCTGAAAGGAGGTCCAAATGCCACATTTATAATTAGACTGCCAATTCAGCACATTGTATCCTTTGCTATACAGGGATATACTGCTGTGTCTGGTCTCTCAATAGCCTGTATTCAGAATTAGCCAATTCAACTGCTTAAACTTTGGAGTCAAATTTAGAATAGGCAATGAGAGGAGGAAAGAAAGCAAACAATAACGCTTTTTCTTTTCCTCAGCTAGCTATTAAAAGGCAGAGAAACCAACCCGGGCAGTGTACTTGGAATCAATGCCCCCAGTGCCGTTTGGCCTGAGCCTGCCAGAGCCTTTCTGGGTGGAAGGGCAGGGCAGGGAGCTTTTGGGGAGGGGGGAGGCGCAGGTCCCTCAGCTTGGGATGGGAGCCCAGCCTCGGGCTGCTCCAGGAGCTCCCCCCGGCTCCTGCCTCTCGGAGCAGAGGGGGGAGCGTGTCTCCAAACCCAGGAGCTGGAAGCAGAGCGAGCCCGGGGCGCAGAGCAAGGCGAGAGCATGCCAAAGGGGATCTGGCAGGTAACGGGCCGCCCTGTTCAACCCCGAGAAGTGCCCGGGGAGGCAGCTCCAGGCAGGGGAAGGGAGGCCTGCAGGCCAGTGGGCAGCGTCTCCAGGGCCAGG